AATAAGCCTTGTAAGAGTTACCTTGGGCAAGGTGATGCACTATCATGGTTCAAAACCCAAAGAGCAGAGGCCTAAAATGAGGTCCCCCTTCCTACTCCTGCCCCCTCAGCAACTCCTCCCCTCCCTGGAGGCTGCTGCATGGCCTTCTGGGATAGTACAGTTAGCTCTGGACATCCACAGGGCTACTGGGTCCTCCTCAGAGACCAACCCCCTGGTGTGCAAGGCCACCTGCATCCTACCGCAGACACCAACCCCTGGTATGCAAGGACACCTGCATCCTACCGCAGACACCAACCCCTGGTGTGCAAGGACACCTGCATCCTACTGCAGACACCAACCCCTGGTGTGCAAGGCCACCTGCATCCTACCGCAGACACCAACCCCTGGTGTGCACGGCAGCTTTCATCTTATTTGTCAATTTCACACAGTTTGATCCATTTCCAGACTCACCTACACCACAAGGTGTCTTGACCCCGGGATCACTACTCAGCCAGGGCAGGGCTGCATGGTCAGTACCACACTGACAGCTTACGACGAGAAGGAAGTAACTCTTGAATGTCTAATCCATGTCAGGATTAATGACGTTACCCTATTTTCAGTCCTTGACATTGCTAATATATGTGTGTTCACAGTGAAATGTTAAGGGTCGGGTATCTGTCCTTTGAGTTTTAGTAGGCTAGATCGCCTGGAAAATATCCATATTAAAAAAATTAATGCTAGAGACCCACATTGGAGCACCGGACAGAAATCTCAAGGTCCAAATCAGGAGCAGAAGGAGAGGGAGCACGAGCAAGGAACTCAGGACCGCGAGGGGTGCACCCACACACTGAGACAATGGGGATGTTCTATCCGGAATTCACCAAGGCCAGCTGGCCTGGGTCTGAAAAAGCATGGGATAAAACCGGACTTGCTGAACATAGCGGACAATGAGGACTACTGAGAACTCAAGAACAATGGCAATGGGTTTTTGATCCTACTGCATGTACTGGCTTTGGGGGAGCCTAGGCAGTTTGAATGCTCACCTTACTAAACCTGGATGGAGGTGGGAGGTCCTTGGACTTCCCACAGGTCAGGGAACCCTGATTGCTCTTCGAGCTGAGGAGGGAGAGGGACATGATCGGGGGAGGGGGAGGGAAATGGGAGGCGGTGGCAGGGAGGAGGCAGAAATCATTAATAAATAAATAAATTTTAAAAATTAATTAATTATTAATTAATGCTGACAAAACATAATCAAACTTTCAAATATATATTTGAATATATATTTATATATAGCTACATATAACAATATATATACATGTATATACATATGTATACATATACATAATAATGTCAATTTTAAAGACCATTTAACTTTAAAGGGCTAGTGTATACATTATGGCCTATGGTCAGTCCTTCATGCTGGAGTTCATGGTTAGGCTGATTGTGGGAACCAGACACACTATGGCTATGCTACCTCCATCGCTCATCGTGAGATCCACTAGGTTGAGCTGCTATTTCCAGATGGAGACTTCCCAGAGAAAGGGCAATGCCTTAAGGGAATGCCATAGAGGTAGTTCCGTGTTGACTGTGACTAACCCCAACGACTCCCTGAAATCTAGTAAGGGAATTTGTTTCCTTGGCCAGTAGATAGGGGCCTTGCTTTCCAGGGATCTAGTCTGAGAACTCCGGGAGTTGGCAGTGTAGGCAGGGGAGGAGGCGGCTTTCTGTGTGCTTCTACACTGACAAGTCTCCTCTTCAGAACAGAAGCCTGGGGCTGTGGATCAGCTTCACTGCTGGTTAGGAGAGGGGCGGCCCCTGCCTGTGGGCCAGTGACTCAGAGTCACAGGAGCTCAGTAGTTGAAGACCAGCTTAGACAATAAAGTCTGACTTCCTCCAAAATGAATGAGTCAAAAGATGATACTGTGAGACCCCGAATCATGGATGTCCTCTACAAAACAGAGTTCCCATCACGACAGTGGGGTTTGTAGGCTAAAAACAAGGAAATGGCATTGAGAAAAAAGAAAAAAGTTGACTGATCATGATCTGTTTGCGTTATTTTTCAGTAAAGATAAAAACAGATGGGCTTTCTTATGCTCAGGTGGACTGCTTTTCCAAGAAAAACTGGTCTGTCAGGGACCTACCATCTTCCCTGAAGTTTGATTCTGGGGGTTGGGGTATGAGAAACGATTTCACTTTGCTTTGTTGGTGCAGACTTAGGCCAAAACAATGGCCTCCTGTAATTTTTCACTAACACTGGGTAAAATGAATTTACTTTTTACTTTATTTTTGTTTTTTCAAAGTAGAGTTTCTCTGTGTAACTATCCTGGCTGTCTTGGAGCTTGCTCTGTAGACCAGGCTGGCCTCAAACTCACAGAAATCTACCTGCCTCTGCCTCCCGAGTGCTGAGATTGAAGACACGTGCCACCACCACCTGGCTTGAGTTCACTTTTTAATTGCTTAGAAAAAACTTGAAATGTCGAAGACCCACAATTCCTAAAGACATCTCCCTTACCAGGCTGACCGGCCCCCAAACAGCTCAATGGGTGAATGGATACAGGAGGAGTATACATACTATGTTACTTAACCACATAAGGAGTTGAATTCTGCAGTTCTGTGGGAGCAAGGGAACACGGTGTCACGTGAGCGGGGCTCAGAAGACAAGAGCTGCCTGCCACAGGAAGCAGGAGAGTGGAGAGTGGCCACCTGAGGGTCAGAAGCCTGAGAGGTGTGGCAATGTGAGCAGGGTGCAGGTGGGTGGGGCTAACTTTTGGTCTTCATAGCACAGCAGGGTAACTAAGGCCGTCAACAATTAATACAATTTATAGGGGCTCGAGAGATTGCTCAGTGTTTGAGAGCATTGGCTGTTCTTCCAGAGGACTTGGGTTCAATTCCCAGCATCTACATGGCAGCTCACAACTGTCTGTAACGCCGAGATCTGACACCCTCACATAGGCACATATGCAGGCAAAACACCAATGCACATAAAATAAAAAAATTAATACAATTTATAAAAATAGTAGGGTTTTTTAAAGATTTACTTATTTATGTATACAGTATTCTGCCTGCATGTGCACCTACACACCAGAAAAGGGCACCAGATCTCATTATAGATGGTTGTGAGCTACCATGGTTGCTTAGAATTGAACTCAGGACCCCTGGAAGAGCAGCCAGTGCTCTTAACCTCTGAGTCATCTCTTCAGCCTGCTTTTTGTTTGTTCGTTTTTTAAAGTTCCTAACACAAACACTAAGATGATAGGCATGTGTGTGATCATGACACACTGTATACAAGTCCTGAAAGGTCATGTGTGTCCCACAAATATGCACAATTGGTACAACTATGTACCAATTTAAAAATACATATATTTTCTGAAGAAGGGTCTCTCCCCATTGTCCTGCCTATCATGGACCATGCTGGCAATGAACTCAACAGAAAGCAGAGATCCTCCTGTCTCGACAGTGCTGGGATTGAAGGTGTGCATCACCACACGTGGTTTAAAAAGGTAACTTTTAAAGGCTGCTGGATGGGGCAGGTGCACCTGGCTCTGTCACCTGGATGCCTGAGCTTTGGGCTTAGGGTGTAGCCTTCAGCTCTGCATCTCAACTCTATCCTCTGCAGGACTGCCTGCCACTGGAGTAACTTTCCCCACGAATCTGTCTTCCCTCGGACCTCTACCACTCAAGGTCCTCGGCCCCATCTTCTCTCATCTGTACGACATCTTATCCTAGTCCACAACTATTTTCCTATGTGTGATGGTGTGAATGAGAATGGCCCCATAGGTTCCTGTATTTGAATATTTGGTTCCCAGTTGGGAGACTATTTAGGAAGGATTAGGAGGTGCGGTCTTGATGGGGGAGGTGTGTCACTGGGGGTGGGCTTTAAGGTTTCTGCAAGGCCGTGCAGGTGTCTCCATCACGCTGCCTACGCTGGTACAGGGTAAGCCCAGCAGAGGCTACCACTTGGATGCTCTTAAGCCAGATAATAGATAGTGTTGTTGGCCTGCAGCCACATAGGAAATTTACCCAAAATATATAACCCTGAGCCTTACAGTTCTTAGGTTCTTATGCACAAAAACCTATATTCTGGTTGGCACGTTTCAGTTAGGAAGAAGTGGAACTATAGAAGCAAATCTGCAGGGTTAGTAGACAAAGGGACTTCTCAAACCACATCCTGGAACCGCTGATTCTGCCTTTGCTTCTGTTGTCGCAGGCGGTGCTGCCCACCTGCTGGGCTTCAAGGCCCGAGTGGTGTTTCTATCATGGCGTTAGTTGTGCTAGGCTCTGGGGGCCTGTTACACTCGCCTGCGGATCAACCCTCAGCTACTGCTCCAGAGCATCTGCCTACTGAAGCCATATCCCAGCCACGATGGGCCTGGACTAACCTCACAACTGTGAGCAGGCCCTCGGTTAAGGGCTTTCTTAGCTGCCTCGGTCATGGTGTGGTACGGCAACAGAACAGGGAGATACTGTGACAGCATAGCTCATCGCTTCTCTCCCCAGGTCACACAGTCACACTGACCTGTGCCGTTGCTGTGGGACAGCTAGGAAGTGACTTCCTACACCTCTTTCCTCTGTCCCCTGTGGTCAGTCCAGTCTTGGATACTGCAGTACGGCATCAGTGTCTACCACATTCATGGCTGAACTGGGGCACCTGGGGCGCACGGCCTGACGTCAGATCTCTTGTAAAGCAGCTGGTACCATGACCCTACAGAGGCTGAGTGCAGGAGCATTTGTCCCAGCAACTCTGGGGACCTTCAGCAAAGAAGGTTAGCATCACTAGACAGAACGGCACATTCGGCAAAGAAGGTTAGCATCACTAGACAGAACGGCACATTCGGCAAAGAAGGTTAGCATCACTAGTCAGAACGGCACATTTGGCAAAGAAGGTTAGCATCACTAGAGAGAACGGCACATTCGGCAAAGAAGGTTAACATCACTAGAGAGAACGGCACGTTCGGCAAAGGTTAGCATCACTAGACAGAACGGCATGTTCGGCTTTCTCTGCTGAAGTTCATAAAACATGATGCAGGTTCATTTCTATTTTTTATTAAAATACTTTTTTGATTACAGAGACAACCAATGAGAATATACACAATTACATATGTTGTAGGTCATGCCAAACGCAAGAAACAGACTCTTGGGAATGGACAAAAGAATTTAAAGTCTTGAAAGATGCTAAGTACAAACCTTTCAACTGTGCCCAGTTCTAAGCCTTGTTTTCCAGAGAAGCTTTAGTTTCTCTATTTGAAGGTTTTTTGATTTACAAATACTTGTTTGAATATCCTAATGACAATCTTATTTTCTGAAACTTTAGAACTTATACTTTGGCCAGGCAGTGGTGGCACATGCCTTTAATTCCAGTATTTGGGAGGGAGAGATGGTGGATCTTTTGTGAGTTTGAGGCCAGCCTGGTCTACAGAGTGAGTTCTAGGACAGTCAAGGCTATACAGAGAAACCCTGTCTTGAAAAACCAAAAAGTTTTCCTTTGGTGTGAAGACCCCTTTCACAGCATCCTGTGTAAACAAACACTACATTTTACTTGAATCACCACTTGCTTTTGTACCATAATTACTAATAGTTACAATCATAATTAAATGTTATGGGAGAAACACAAGACAAAAACCTGCCCATAAGCCCATGTCTTGCTACAGGAAAGTGTGTGTATGTATGGATTTAATGATACCCTCTGATTCACAACCTAGTGTTTTGTTTCTTGTTGGTACCCAGGAGGAAACCCAGGGCTACACCCATGATAAGCAAGAGCTCTATCACTGGGCTTCAATCCAGCCCTTAAAATCTAGTGTTTTCTGATCTGGCTATAATAAAGATAAACTATAAAAACTATAAAAAGGAACAAACTATTACAAACTCTTCAATAGGGAAGTGAACATGCTAGAATGGTGTAGAAGGCACTAGCGAGGCTATTAGCTTCTTAAATGTTTAATTTCAATTTAGAAAAAACAATACTCAGGATGTTGAGTATAGAACTAGAAAGGATTTCTTTGCTGTTTTGAGACAGTGTCTTCCTGTGTGTCCTGTGATCTTGAGGTCCCTTGTTCAGCCTCTCAAGTGTGGGACCACAAGTGTGCGCACAACCCCCAGCTCTAAAACTAAAACCTGTCGGCTGAATGCTGCTTTTTCCTCAAGGCCTTGACAAACCAGAAGAAATACACAAAATAGGAACATAAAACTTATCTGTGGGATCAATTCTAATGGGGAAAACAGGGCAATAAAAAACAGTAAAGCAATTGGTTTAAGACACTGTCCACAGAGAAATGTATGGGGTAAAAAAGACATACAACATTTTAAGATTTGATAATGAAAAGATTTTTAAAAAGGCAATGATATACGTTAACAATGCTTGTGGCCACCATAAGAAGGCATGAGGACAGTCAGCCTGGTCTGTGTAGCAAGTTCCAGGCCAGCCAGGGCTTCATAGAGACCCTGTTTCAAAACAAAACAAAAACAAACAAACCAAAAAAGAAAACTTGAAGGCAAACTGCCTGCAGCCATCAGAGCATTCCCATTCATAGGCATGACTTTCTTGACAATTAGGAAGATGAAATGGAGCAGCAAGCTGCAGTCCTTCAAAGCCCCTTCTGATGTCAAGAAAACCCCGGGTGGTGTCGGAGCTACGAAAGGAGCTGAGCTGTTCCCAAGGCTGAAACAGAGGCGCTGCTGTGAGTGAGAGAGGATGCCGTGACGTTAGAAAGCTGAGGACCTGGAGAGCTCTTCAGCTATGGGAAAGAACAGGTTTTATAGTGGGTAGCCTTATGTAATATCACAATCTTGTAGTTAACTACTATTCAAATAAGAATGCAAAATGTGTTTAAGAGCATTTTCTATTTTATGTACTAAAATATATAGACATATAAAGAGTATTCCTAAAAAGTTACTTTTAATTCAGATCCGCACTAGCAAAAAAATAGCAATTTCATTAAAATGAGCCTGTGTATTTTAAATATTTGTTTTAGAATCATGCTTGAAAGTGAGGATTTTATTTCTATGAAGGGTATGTAGTATTTCAGCTTGTCTCTAGGGAAACACTACATAAGAAGCTAATTAGATAATTCTGTAATAAGTAGGAGTAAACATATTAAACAGATTTTCCCCTCCACTTTTAGAAGTACAGCTTCCAAAATATGATGCTTATTTAATAAGAATATTAGATTCAGATATCCAGAAACAAATATAGACATTACAAAGTAACAAAAACAGAGACTATAAATGGTTTTAAGGTAGATGCTAAGAGTTCCCAACAATCTCGCCCTTCTCTGTTTACGTCTGTAAATTCCTTTTCAACCCTCTGCAACCTCACGTGCTAAAGAAGCTGGCTGGTTTGCTGGTGCCGAGCCTGCAGTCTGTGTGCTGGAGAAGCTGGCTGGTTGGCTGGTGCCGAGCCTGACCACGGTTCTGTGTGCTGGAGAAGCTGGCTGGTTGGCTGGTGCCGAGCCTGACCACGGTTCTGTGTGCTGGAGAAGCTGGCTGGTTGGCTGGTGCCGAGCCTGACCACGGTTCTGTGTGCTGGAGAAGCTGGCTGGTTGGCTGGTGCTAAGCCTGTGGTTCTATGTGCTGGAGAAGCTGGCTGGTTGGCTGGTGCCGAGCCTGTGGTTCTGTGTGATGGAGAAGCTGGCTGGTTGGCTGGTGCCGAGCCCATGGTTCTGTGTGCTGGAGAAGCTGGCTGGTTGGCTGGTGCCGAGCCTGACCACGGTTCTGTGTGCTGGAGAAGCTGGCTGGTTGGCTGGTGCCGAGCCTGTGGTTCTGTGTGCTGGAGAAGCTGGCTGGTTGGCTGGTGCCGAGCCCATGGTTCTGTGTGCTGGAGAAGCTGGCTGGTTGGCTGGTGCCGAGCCTGACCCTTCTCCTTGTGCACCTCACTCTCACCTCTGCTTGCAGCTGGAAAAGGACAGCTGCTTCCTGGTGCCTGATGTGGCATCACATGACCTACATACAGCCTGGCTGCTCTTTCCCTGGCTTCTTTTGCACCCAGATCCTCACAGTGCGTTTAGTGGAGTTTCAAGGGTGTGCCACAATTCTTGGTAGAGATGATTCAACTGCCTATACATCAGCACTGTGGGTGGGGGAGTGCAAGACCACGGCTAAGTCACCGTCGGCATGAGTGCCGTAGGACAGATCTCACCACGTGAGAGGTTTAAAGTTGTTTTAAACATTTACTTAGTGTGTGTGTGCCTGTGCGCATATGCATGCATGTTATTGTGCATGTATGGAGGTCTGTTGGTTCTCTCCTCCACTGTATGGGCTCTGGTGCTAGGGATCAAGCTCAGGTCATCAGGCATGGCAGCAAACACTTTTACCCACCGAGTCAGCTCACTGGCTCTAGGGAAAAGTTTTCTGCTGTAAAATAGAGTAAATATTTACTTTCTAAAACTATGTAAGATAACCATGAAGCTTTTACAGTGGCTTGAATGTGAGCTGCAATATTTACTCTCTTTATATAAAACAGATAAGCAATCCAAGGCACGGTTAGGAAAGCTTTAAGGACACAGACCTGGTGAACTTGAGGCTGGTAGTTGAGAGCCACAGCTCCTGGTAACCGAAGGCACCAGACCTTCCGTCAGAACTACAGCTCTTCCACAACTCCTCTGTACCCCATTCTTATAGGACTAGAGTTCTACTGTTCCCATGGAAAAGACATACACTAATAGGCAACAAACAGAAAAGGTACAGTTATAACAACATAATTTAGTATGTTCCTAGCATACTTGACTCATGACTTCTGCACACTTCATGACTTACTGAGTAATTTTCATGTCCTCCTAGTAACTAAGCTGCTTTGGATTGCGTTCCTTTCCCTTCTTTAGAACATGCAGTTCATACACTTGACCGTCTTACTGCCGTAGTCGATACACTCTGGACCAATGCACTCACAGCAGGCGTTATGAAACCAACGGTATTTGGACGCTCCCATGGACTCGCAGGATATTTTACACTGATGTATGGACATGCAGTCATCAAAGTAAACCACAGTGCACATGTGCTCTGAAAGGAAAAAAAAAGGCAGACCTCAGCACAAGCGAGAAGATTCTGCCACTCAGTTAAATAACACTACAGCTGTTCGCTTGGTTCTTATTGCTGATCAGCACACGACAAAATGAGGGGAAAAAGACCTTCATTTGCTAACTGCGTTGACAGATCTTCAGACACAGAAGGCAAAAACACAAAGGTTAGAATATCTGGCCAACAACCATCTTCGAAGCAACAACGCAGCTTCCTAAACTGATGTTTCTCCAAAGACATACTTCTCTAGTCCAGACAAGATTGAAAAATACTGTGCTAAGGTCATACTGGGAATTTGTACTGAAGCAAGCAATCCAAACAGCGCAAAGTGATCAATACACACTCGCAAGCAGATGTCACTAACAAGACTGCCTACTCTAAGCTCCCACAGAATGGACAGTTTTTAACTCTACAAGTGGTTAATCCCATGTGGCTTCTTGGCTAAGAAAGACAATAAAAACCATTCACAGAGCATTAAGGGAGAGTGTACGGTCAGAGGGTAAGGGTTTTGGTTTCCCCTGAGGTGGGAAGAGCAGGCTGTTGCTGCTTTAGAGACAGGGTCTCTTGCTTATGCAACCATGACTGCTCAAGAAACTTGCTCCTGCGTTGGCCATCTGCTCCTGGGATCACAGGCATGTGCCACCTTGCCTGGCTGGCACTAAGTTATCTTTTTAAGACCTCTAACGATTAGAGAGAAGGCCTAGTAGAAAACACTGGGCTTGTGTTAAGGGGAATAAAAAGCAAAGCTTCCAGGCCTTGAAGGACAAAAGCCTTGGAGTATCCATGGGAACAGAGCGAAGGCCCAGGAGCAGTGGCACATAAATGCTATCCCAATACTTGGGAGCTGGGGTGAAAGGATCATGAGTTCAAGGCTAACCTGGGCTACACAGTGAATTCAAATATACATATAAACTGTGTCAAAGAAAAAAAACAAAGAAAAAAATAGTGGGTAAAGTACTTGCCATGCAAGCCTTGTTTGATCCCTATAGCCACCCCACAGAGCCTCACACAATGTGTGCCCCTTATCATATATGCACAATTATAATAAACAATTCTTGTTTACTAGCAATGAAGAAAGCTGGGAAGTGGTGAGGCACCGAAACAGTCGAGCAGAAGGACTGACAGTGAGCAAGTCATTTGCGACACTCAAATCACCTACTGACTAGGCCCTGTTAAATTCATCTCATCTAACTTTATCCAATGTATATTTACTAAGCTCCTACCATGGGCTAGCCATTGCAGACTCAAGAGTCCAAAGAGTCGAAAGAGCTAGGTAAAAAGTAAACCTATCAGTTCAAACCAAACTGCAAGGGTCTGTAAAATTGAGGGTCTGTAACTACCAGGAGGAAGAAGAGGCACCAAGTTTCCAGAAGCAGGCTTCTGTGTAACACTGTCATGAATCTAAGACATTACTGAGCAAAACTAATGAATAATACATATCTATGACAGTCATTCTATTTCAATATGAGAAAATAGCAAAGCATCAAGTTCTACGCATTTCCAACCTTTCCCAAAGCCTAGCATTTGATTTACAAAGCAATCTAATCTGAAAGGAGGTAAGAATTCATACTGTCATTTAACAAAACTGTTTAGCTTCTATTGTTAACATGCAAAGTCCCATTTTATATTGGTCAGATTACAGTGGGAGGCATAATAAAGAGCTAGTTAGAAACAGAGCTCACATGACAGTGTCTGCACACACTTCATTTAATGCTTTAAGATTCAGCTGCAAGCCAGGTGTGGTGCTCACAGCTGTAGTTCCAGAGAGGACTGCCACAGGGTCAAGGCCAGCCTGGTCTACATCTCAGACCCTGGCACAAAAAACTAAAACAAAAGCCACATCAATTGTATTTCACAAATGCCTTATTCTTCTGCTATAAACTGTACTGAAAACATTAAGACTTTATTATAGCTATAAGCTCTTTGTACTCCATAATTATAATATGGTCTATTCTCACTAGCAAATGTTCTTTGCTAAGATTCTCAGATGATGAACCATAATCACATCCCCACAGAGAACAGGGTGGGACAGTTTACACCTGTAAATGGGATGTCCGCGATACCAATCTGTCCATAGAATTGTAACTGACAGGCAGAAAGAAGGAAAAACCCGTCCTGTATAAGCCCAGCCTGATTTTATCCCAGAACCCACAAGTGCGATGGTGTGTGTGCCCACGCTCAGAAACACATACACACATAATAACAAAACAAAAATAAAGTAGTTGATGACCTCGGCATCATTTGCAAACACCTAACTTACAAGGAAGCTCAAGTCACCTGACACCAAGCACAGACGCCATGGACTAAAGAACACTTAATATCTCATTCAAATAAATGCAGAACTAGGAAGTTACTCATTTTCCGACACAGCCTCCATGCTGATGTGTCTCCGCATTTACCATTTATTTAAGACTACACAAATTCAAACTTAAAAGATGCTCCAAAAGATAACCTGATGTATTTGTCACGGACCGCAGGGCAGACCACAGGGTGGAATAGGTACCTTTGTCGTTGGGATAAGGAGCGTGAACATTGTTGCTGGGAACAGACACATTTTGGTGGTGCGGCTGGTTCACAGTTTCTAAAAAGGAAACTAAATTTTCATGGTGTGAGAGCTCCTCCGCCACAGGGAAGGAGACGATGTTCCAGTTCAGCTGGGTGTCCCCCTCCGTGAGCGCCCTGAACAGGGAGGGGATGGGCTCATGCAGCTCCTCCACTGTGCTCTTTGAGGTGGGAGGTGTGTCGCTGTAATTCCGAGGGTTACACATGCCTGGGGAGACAAAGGGAACGGAAGTTTACTTTCCTCACTGGTTGTAACGTTTTGGGGTTCTGCTAATTCCCTGGAACCAAGGATCTGTTTGCTAACACCGTGATTTCTAGCGTTATGAATGCATGTTCCCCAGACTTTTCCCCCTGAAATGACAAAAAGTAATGAGAGCCACCCACTGAGAAAACCAAGGTTACTACCCTCCACTCACAGGACTCTGGAGTGTGATTCCAGGACTTTGGTAGTATAAATACAGTGAGCCAGGAATGCACGTGCACATTGTGTGTGTGTGTGTGTGTGCGTGCGTGCGAGTGTGTGTGTGTTCTGAGACAGGGTTTCTATAAAGTGCAGGCTTTCCTTGAACTCGCCATATAGCCCAAGTTGGCCTCATGTTTTTGGCCATCCTCCTGTCTCAGTCTCCCACGTGCTGGGATTACAGCACATGCCAGTCAGTTGGAATGATGCATTTCAAGTCATGAGAGTCAAGCCTGTGAAGTCCAGCAAACTCACCTTTAAAGTGAAGAAATAAATGAAATCGCCTAGGACAAGGATAAACTAGAGCAGTTTATGACCGCTAAAGGGATTTCACGCCCACTGTATACAGGTACTGCAACTTCTTTGTCCCCTGATCTGCACAGACATCTAAGCTGGTCTCACATCTGTGGAGTGCTTTAGTAGCCTGATACACAAGTACCTCTATGGTACTAAGCTTAGGATTGTTGGACACAGAACAAAGCATCAACTTTTTTTTTTTGAGAAAATATTATGCTTCTCAAACACATATCTGAAAGTCTGAAGGCCCAGTTTCTCCTTCCTCTTGGCCTCAGCCCGCTGTCTCCAAGGTTACAGGCATGGGGGTTTGTCAATGGCACTGAACTGAACTCTCAGTTGGCACTACTTTTTCTTCAATCCACGTTCTTCTCTCGTCTGCCCTGTCTTGTTTCACTGGCCTCTATTACATCTTTTAAAGAATGGTGTGTGATGTATCTTTTTCATCTTTCTCAAATGAAAATGTAAATTTTCTTTTTTAAAACCATAAAGGTTGGGAGTGGTGGTGTACACCTTTGATCCGGCAGAGGCAGATGGTTCTCTGAATTCCAAGATGACCTGGTACACAGTGAGCTCCAGATCATGCTGGTCTCCACAGTGAGCCCAGATCATGCTGGTCTCCACAGTGAGCCCCAGATCATGCTGGTCTCCACAGTGAGCTCCAGATCATGCTGGTCTCCACAGTGAGCCTAGATCATGCTGGTCTCCACAGTGAGCCCCAGATCATGCTGGTCTCCACAGTGAGCTCCAGATCATGCTGGTCTCCACAGTGAGCCTAGATCATGCTGGTCTCCACAGTGAGCCCCAGATCATGCTGGTCTCCACAGTGAGCTCCAGATCATGCTGGTCTCCACAGTGAGTCCCAGATCATGCTGGTCTCCACACTGAGCCCCAGATCATGCTGGTCTCCACAGTGAGTCCCAGATCATGCTGGTCTCCACAGTGAGCCCCAGATCATGCTGGTCTCCACAGTGAGCTCCAGATCATGCTGGTCTCCACAGTGAGCTCCAGATCATGCTGGTCTCCACAGTGAGCCCCAGATCATGCTGGTCTCCACAGTGAGCCCCAGATCATGCTGGTCTCCACAGTGAGCCCCAGATCATGCTGGTCTCCACAGTGAGCCCCAGATCATGCTGGTCTCCACACTGAGCCCCAGATCATGCTGGTCTCCACAGTGAGCCCCAGATCATGCTGGTCTCCACAGTGAGCCCCAGATCATGCTGGTCTCCACAGTGAGCCTAGATCATGCTGGTCTCCACAGTGAGCCTAGATCATGCTGGTCTCCACACTGAGCCCAGATCATGCTGGTCTCCACACTGAGCCCCAGATCATGCTGGTCTCCACAGTGAGCCTAGATCATGCTGGTCTCCACAGTGAGCCTAGATCATGCTGGTCTCCACACTGAGCTCCAGATCATGCTGGTCTCCACAGTGAGCTCCAGATCATGCTGGTCTCCACAGTGAGCCTAGATCATGCTGGTCTCCACACTGAGCCTAGATCATGCTGGTCTCCACACTGAGCTCCAGATCATGCTGGTCTCCACAGTGAGCTCCAGATCATGCTGGTCTCCACACTGAGCTCCAGATCATGCTGGTCTCCACACTGAGCCCCAGATCATGCTGGTCTCCACAGTGAACCCAGATCATGCTGGTCTCCACAGTGAAACCTTGTCTAAAAAGGACAAAGGCACAAAAGGGACTATGCCAGGAGAGGAGCAGTAGGAGTGGAGAACAAGAGATGACGTCAGAGGTGCTACGTATGATAAAAATGTATAACATACATGTATAAAAACATCACAAGGAAACTTTGTTCTGTCTTACATGTTCACAAAACCGAGGTCACTGATCCAGCAATACTGATGAGTTGGACTTATGAGTTGGCAGTGTAGACTTATTCCTTGGACATGCACCTGCCTGCTTTCCTCTACCCCTCCCTGTCTTCCTTTCTTTTTTGTTTTTGTTTGTTTTTGTTTTATGAGACAGGGTTTCTCTATAGTCTGTAGCTTTGGAGAATGTCCTGGAACTCACTATAGACCAGGCTGGCCTTGAATTAACAGAGATCTGCTTGTCTCTGCCTCCTGAGTGCTGGGATTAAAGGTGTGCGTCACCACCACTGGCCTTTTTCACCATTCCTTCCTTCTTTGTCCTCCCCTCCCTCTCTCCCTACACTGGCTTCAAACTTGTGAAGCCACAGATTCCAACCTCAGCCTTCCAAGCTGTAGGTATCATCACGCTCGTGAATTATTAATATCTCTCTCTCCACTCTCTCCTTTGGTAGCAGGTGGTGTACTCTCTCTCTGTCTCTGTCTCTCTGCTTTGGCAGTGGGTGGTGTGATCTCAGCAGGGTCTCATACATGTTACACATGTGCTCTGTCACAGAGAGTCCCTTCTTTCCCTTTTCTTATTTTGATCATTCACAGCCATATATAGGCAAAACACCCATATAATAAAAATAAATAAAAAGATTAAAAACTAAAAGTGTTCTTCATTGATTCCTCACTCCTATACTTCTTTCTTAATCTTTTATTTAAACTATTTTTACATAATTATATACAAGTAATATACAACAATTCTCTATATATTTACCTTATGCAGTATTTATTTACATGTATGGTACACTTTGTGCTGGCTAGTTTTATGTGAATTTGATACAAGCTCGATTCATCAGAGAGAAGGGAGCCTCAATGGAGAAGACGCCTCAATAAGATGAAGATGCACAGTCTGAGAAAACCAAACCAAACCAACCAATCAACCAAACAAAAAAACCACCAAAAACAAAAGATGAGGCTGTAGGCAAGACTGGTGACAGACAGGGAGGAGGACCCAGATCACTGCTGGTGTTATCACCCTGGGCTGGTGGTCCTGGGTTCTGTAAGAAGGTAGGCTGAGCAAGTCATGGGGAGCAAGTCAGTAAGCAGCACCCTCCATGGATCCTAAGCTGCCCTGGCCATGGTGTCGCAGCACAGCGGGATGGCCCTGACTGGGACAGACAGAGGCTCACCCACACAGTCGCAGCACTCATCCCACAGCGCCCCGAGGCACAGCATGCACTCCTTACAGCACGGGCAGCTTCCTTCTCCCGGCCGGCACTGGCAGAGCTCCTAGAAATAAGACAGATTCCAAATGATTAGAGAGAAATAACCCTCTGAGCAAAAGAATAACCCACAGTATTTTCATTTATAAAAATTTATTCCTGATGTACTTTTTATTCAACAACAAAAAGTTATTGTCATCTTGCTGTCTCCTTACAGTAATAGAAACCCTAAGACATATATAAACAGGTAAAACACCCATACACATAAATTTCTTTTTCAAAACAAACCCCACCAATATCCTTTTAAATTTATTACTTTGGAATCTGGCTTCCACAAGTACCAGACACAGAGACACACAGGTATATCCATGTGCAATCACGGTATACAGACATGCCCCCCCCACATTAAAAAACAAACACCAAAATGCTTTACAATTGTTAGTGTAGAGTCTGGTGCGGTGGTACAAACCTATATGGTTCCAGTCCTCCAGAGGCTGAGCTATTGGATTGCAATTTCAAGACCAGCCTGGGCTACATAGCAAGACCTGGTCTTGAACAAATAAGAACGCATCAAATAGCAAGAGCCAGTGATGTTGCTTAGTAATGAAAGCACTTGCCTAATATGAGCACGGCCCTGGTCCAATCCCCAACACTGCAAACCCCAATACTATGTGAGTAAAGTTACAGCCCAGTAGCGGAAGGCCTGCCGAGCCAATAAAGCTGCGGCATCCATCTTCCATCCACATCACTTCTAGTTTTATTTTTATTGATACACTGAAACAGTGTGCTAATTGTGGAAGACTGTATAAAGATTGTAACAAATATCTCCCCTCTTTGGACTGTAACTTCATGATCTCTCCAATTATGGAAAAGAAGCTTTAAACTGAATCCATCTGGGCTGGGCGTGGACTAGCAGCAGCTAGCATGTGCAGTGAATGAGGACAGTCAGGATAACGGAGAATGGAGTCCATCACACAAATGCTGAGAGAGCATCAGAATAAAGGGAACGAGAGGACAGCTGAAGCGTATGAGAGACAGAAGAACCCCAGCCAGGGCCTCCTAATAAAGGGACATAGAAGCCAAGAGGCAAGTCTGTCATCCTGATAAAAAAAAGACTATGGACTCAACCCAGGGAAAGCCTTGAATCCACTCGGGGGATTTCATGGACCAAGACTCCTCTGCAATCAAGAGGGTTTCTGACTAACTCACTTAGCTGACCTTTGCTTGATGAGCTAACACATACAAACTTGTATCGTGTGGACTCTGTCGAATTCTGTATCCTGAGGCTGTAGTTCTGCTATGCAGACATTAGGAGGCACGGCTAGGCCTGAAAGTGTGACATATAGCTCTGTGGTAGAGTGCACACTTAGCCTGTGAAGCTAAGCAAGCTGTCCTCATGCCTCAGAAAGATAACAGCGGAACCAACACAGAAACCTAATGCAACATGGAAACAGAATGCTGTGAAAGCAAGCTTCCTGGAAGCCCAGGAAAACGGGAGTTATAAAGCTTTGTAACTCGTTCCCCCATAAAACTCGTGTCCTGTCTTTGGAGCAAGAGTGCACTTTCTGAACAGACATACATATACATACATACATATACATACATTCACACATATGTAAGTACTTAAAGACCATCCAGCTAATGCTGATTCCTTGGTTTTTACTTTTACAAAAACTGCCATTGGCCAAAGACATAAAGTTTCTTTCAAATTCATATATATATATATTCATATTCATTGTTCTTGCAGAGAACTTGGGTTAAATACCTAGCAACCGCATGGTGGTTCATAACCACCTGTAACTCTAGTCCCAGTGACATGATGCCTCTTCTGACCTGTGTGGGCTCCTGCCCTCACATGGTGCACAGATACACACTTAGGCAAACACACATATACACATAAAATAAATATTAAAAACTATATCGTGTCTTTCACACAGCTTATAAATGGTAGCGTACATTACACAAATTTGCATATATTATGCTAAATCAATGACTTCCACTAGAGAAATTTTGGCATGGATGTGTATGCACGCATGTGGAGGCCTAACGGTGACTTCAAGTGTCTTCCCTAATTGCTCTCCATCCTATATACTGAGGCAGAATCTATTGCTGGGCCACAGCTCTTGGTCTCGGCTCATCTGACCAGTCAGCTTGCTTCTGCCTCCATTTCCCACACCCTGGGACTTCGGGCAAGACACCACACCCACCAGGAGATCCGAACACCAGCTCTCATGCTTACAGGGTAAGGGCTTAACTCTCTGATCTACCTCCCCAATCTTCCAATGCATGTCTAATAAAACAGTGGCAATATAATATCCTGATATAAACAATAAGCAATGCTCTATTATCAACAGCTCTGAATATCTTGCATAGCAGTTCGGCTCTGCGGTCAAACTCAGAAAACAGCCTTCACTCCCCTCTTACTCTCTCCTGCACCCTGTCAGCGTCCTTAGCTTACTGTCCTTGTTGCTATCTGAACGAGGGGTCACTGTGTGAGGCTGCCCTGAGCGACGGGATTGCAGATGTGAACCACGTGGTCTTGTTCTTTATTACCATTTTCGAAACTTCATTAGTCCACTTTTAAAAACATAAATGTATTTGAAAATTCTCCACTTTTTAAACAGAAAAAAAGTAGAGTTAAAATGTGAGATTTTCTTCCAACTGGGCTATTTATATATTTTACCAACCTCACTATGAATAAACTTGAGTCAAATGGAACATGTGACCAAACCAAACACAACATTCACAGAAGTCCAAAAAAGAAAGTGACTCAAAGCTTCCAACTGTTTTCTGTGGCCACATTCCCCAGAGTTCTTACGTCGGTTCTGTCTAAACACAGGCGCCACTCCAGGAGCTGTGTGTGCACTACCTCCTGCCTCATAAAGCTGCAATGGGGCAGATTATTCTCATTCTTCAAATGAAGGTATAAAATGCATACAACATTCAATTAGCAAGTGGCTAGGATTTGACTCTGGTTTGAGTTAGACATTACTGCTTCATACAGGTTGGAATGAGAAAAGTAACGCTTGTTTCTGTCCAGCATTTTAATAACTAGTTATTAGTCTTTCTTGGAGAAAAATCAACCAATCCTCAGATGAAAGACTTCAAGCCGTTTAAGCAGAGGCACCTTTTACTCTGACAACTAAACTCAATCACAGGCACTTGCCCAAGCTTAACCATTGTTTGTACAGGGGGTATTATCAGCTGAGAGTCAGACCAGACACTGAAATCCAGTACTTAATTCTTTCATGGCTTCAGCCGCTTAATGGCAACATCATCTGTTGTCCACGCTGAAAGTCTTGGAGAAAGTACAGTGCTTCCTCATGGGGCATGACCCTGAGTACACAGTCACACCATGATTCTGACTAGCTCTGGAGACCAGGCTGGCCGCGAACTCAAAGAGATCTGCCTGCCTCTGCCTCCCAGTGCTGGGATTAAAGATGCGTGCCACCACTGGCCGGCAACTAAATTAATTTCACCCTAAGAAGTAGTCTGCTAATTTAGCGCAGAGAAGTGCTACATAACAGAGAGCCAGTACACTGCTAAAATAGTCATTACAGATCTCTCAATAGAAGTCTGAGTGTGTTCATGAAATATGCTGACATCATCCTAAAAATGGCTGTGAAGCTAAAACTACTTACAACTCAGTGAGCTTTTCCCATTCTTCAGACACACACACACATGCATGCAGACATAGAGACACACATGTGCCTCCCCCCTCTCTCCAAAGGCCCATATATTGAAAGTTTCATTCCCAGCCCATGGAGCCAGTTGGAAGTGGTGGAACCTTTCGGGGTGGGGCCAATGTGAGAAAGTAAGGTAACTGGGGTCATGTCCTTGAAGGACTACAGGAACTTCAACTCTCCGATTTCTCTTTGCTTCCCTGCTACAATGAGGTGACTAGGCCTCCTCCAATCTCATGCTTGCGCTACCACAGGCCCAAACAGCATGGCCAAGCAACCACAGACTGAAGCTAGGACAGGAGAGTGTATGTGTGTATATATATATATATATATATATATATATATACATATATATATTTATATTTATATATATACACATATATGTAACCCAGGTGGATTGGTTATTTTCCTCACTGTGATGTGTGGTGGTTTGAATGACAATGGCCCCCACAGGCCCAGAATGTTTGGTCCCTGTTAGTGGAACCATTTGGGAAGGACTAGGAAGAGGTGTGTCACTGGAAGTGGACTGTCAAAAGCCCACACCAGGCCCAGTGTCTCTCTCTGCTCTGGCACCACATCTGCCGCCTGCAGCCATGCTCCTGCTATGATGAGCTCATGCTGACTGTGAGTTGCCTTGGTCATGGTATCTCTTCACAGCAACACAATAACTAAGAAGATTAAAGAGCAGGGCTTATTTTGGTTCACAGGCCACCATGGTACGGCTGGTATGACGGCAGCTCTGGGGCAGCAGCGACATGCAACTAGAACACCTCTGAGCAGAGGAAAGGGCGTGGATGCTGGCTTTCTCCTTTTCCTCCTACTCTGTCTTCTGGATGAATGTGCTGCTAATACCCAGGGTGGGTGGGGTATCTCCCCTCTCCTGTTTTCCTCTCTGCCCAGAAGTGTGTCTCCTAAGAGGTGATTCTAAACCCAGCAAGCTAACGATGAAGAGTAACCATCACACTATGGAAACTGATTATTGGAGGTATTCTGTCACAGCGATGGGGAGCAACAGACCATGGTAGACATGTGAGTGATCCAAATTTTAATTTATTTACTTTTATTGATCTGAATTTTAAAGTTATTTACAGTTTATTTTTAATCACGTTATTTATTTGTCTAGAAAGTGTGTGTGTGTCCCAGGTATTAAACTCAGGTAATCAGGCTTGGTGGCAGGTGTTTTTACCCCCTCAAATATCTTACCTAAAACTTCTTTTTATAAAAGTATCAAAACAGCCAGGTCGTGGTGGTGCATGCCTTTAATCCCAGCACTCAGGAGGCAGAGGCAGGTGAATCTCTGAGTTTGAGGCTAGCCTGGTCTACAGGGAGAGTTCCAGGACAGCCAGGGCTACACAGAGAAATCCTTTCTCGAATAACCAAAAAA